CATCCTGTGGGTGGTAGTCAAACGATTACAGAGGTACATAATGGGTCCAGGGACTGGGCCTCAAAGTTTCGATATCTGAACAAGGTACAAAAAGTAATGAACTCCAGGTAGATCTTAAGTTAGGTAAGGTTCATCAGGAAACAGGACAAGTGTTTACTGACCCGCAGCTGGAGCTCTTGGTCATCTGACTGAGGCATTCCACTGACTTACCCCTCCACTCCTTTAAAAATTATGGTTATTAAAACTATTATATATTTGGATACAAAGATAGCTGTATATAAGCTGACCGTTTTAGTGGTCAGCAACGTTGCCACTAATGCTTCAAAAATGTTTGACAGAAAACTAGCTAAAATATCTACCATCTCTTCGACTACTATTAGGAACCTGATACAAAAACCCAAGCATGATTCTGGCATAAGTGCAGGAATTTACACTATACCATGTGGGGGGTGTGACAAAATATATGTGGGGGAAACAGCCAGATCTCTGGACATTAGGATCACCGAACACAAAAATGCTTGGAGAAATGATGACCGTAAAAATGCGTGTGTTCAACATAGGGACGATGTTGGACACCTCATGAAATTCATTGAGGTTAAACTACTGATTAAAGAAGACGATTTAAGATGGAGAAAATGCACAGAAGCTGCCCTAATTGCTGTCAGTAACACTATAAAGCAAAAGTTCGATAGTTACAGTATCTCAAAATTGCTACTCAACAGGATATTACCCATTCTGGAAACTGCTGTTACGTGATGTCAACAGGTCCTTCTGTAGCCATCCGTCTCACCACCTTACTACTACTACTACTTACCTGACTAACTAAACTCACTCACTCACTCCTCTGCAGAACCTTTGGCTTTCATAGGGAGTGATTTTCATGTGCAGGTTTGGCACCAGTCCCTCCAGGACCTTCCAAGTGTATATCATGTATCTCTCTCGCCTGCATTCCAGGGAATACAGATGAAGGACCTTCAACCGTTCCCAGTAATTTAGGTGCCTTATTGTACTTATGCGTGCCATGAAAGTTCCTTTTACACTCTCCAGGTCTGTAATGTCTTCAATTTTGAAGGGGGCCGTTAGTGTAAAGCAGTATTCCAGCCTAGAGAGAGCAAGCAATTTGAAGAGGATCAGCATGGACTTGGCATCCCTAGTTTTGAAGGTTCTCATTATCCATCCTATTATTTTCCTAGCAGATGAGGTAGATACATTGTTGTGGTCTTTGAAGGCAAGATCCTCTGACATTATCGCTCCCAGGTCCTTCACATTTCTTTTTTGCTCTATTATATGGCTAGAATTTGTCGTATGCCCTGATATATTTTTAATTTCCTTGAGTTTTCCCGTATCTGAGTACGTAGTTGAAATTTCTCCTCGTTGAACTTCATATTTTGAGTGGCCCATTTGAAGATTTGGTTGATGTGCGCTTGGAGTCTTGTGGTGTCTTCGATGGAGGTCACTGCCATGGCAATCCGGGTGTAATCCGCAAAGGAAGACACGGAGCTATGGCTTGCATTTCTGTCTGTGTCCGAAATGAGGATGAGGAATAGAATGGGAGCGAGTACGTACTGTGCTTTGTGGAACAGAGCTTTTTACCGTAGCTGCCTGGGACTTCACTCTGTTTACTATTACTCTGTTCTATTTGTCAGGAAATTATAGATCCCTCTACCAACTTTGACTGTTATTCCTTTATCATGCATTTTGTGTGCTATTACACCATGGCCACAATTGTCGAAAGCTTTTGTAAAGTCTGTGTATACTACATCTATATTCTGTTTATCCTCAACAGCATCCAGGACCTTGTCATAGTGGTCCAGTAGCTGCGACAGGCAGGAGCGACCTGCTCTAAACCCGTGTTGCCCTGGGTTGTGTAACTGGTGATCCTGCTTCTTGGAATCCTCTCAAAGATTTTCATGATGTAGGATATTAGTGCTATTGGTCTGTAGTTCTTTGCAGTTGCTTTACTGCCACCTTTGTGGAGTGGGGCTATGTCTGTTTATAGTGTGTGTGGGATGACCCCTGTGTCCATGCCTCCTCTACATAGAATGCTAAAGGGATGTGATAGGGGCTTCTTGCAATTCTTGATGAACATAGAGTTCCATGAGTCTGGGACTGGGGCAGAGTGCATTTGCATGTCATTTATTGCCTTTTCAAAGTCTTGTGGAGTTAGGAAAACTCACTAATATTTAACATACTAAAATGTTCACCTGTCTTTCTCTTATCTGATAACTTTTCGTACAGTGGATTATGTGTGGTCAGCAGAAACAGCCTGGTTGATCAGGCACTGATCTACCAGGAAGCCTGGTCAAAGCCACGTAGAGAGTCGGTAATACTTAAATGTGATTTATGATCGGACCTATTAGGACAACCAATAACTCTAAAATGGAATACGTATTTTTGTTTTTTTGTTGAAAACAAATTATCAAAAATAATTTGTGAAAAAATCTCACACTTCTAAATGTATGTAACCAATGTGGTCAACCCGTAAATTAATGACATCCCGTGAAAACACTATATAATTAATTCAAGAACATACACAGTATGTAAGATAATTTTCTTTTGTATATGATTAGTGGCAAGAGAGCTGAAGGACCTGAAAAAAGGGGAAGGGAAGTATGTACAAGGGTGCCAGGAGGGATGGAGGGAGAGAGGGACCTAGGAGAGGGAGGGACAAAGGGAACTAAGGAGGGATGGACAATGGGAGAGAGGCAGCCTTCAACACTGAAGGGATGTAGGTGGCCATACTGTTACATACAAGGCTAATGTGGTCAAGGTCCCAAGTTCCACACTTGGCTCCACTTTGCAGTCAGCGAGAAGAGAGTTTTTACACAAGATGGGCAGCAAACCACTCTGGCTGCACTTGATCTGAGATTATTTATTCCTAGGATGACCAGTTTTGAACATGTTTGTACAGCATAATGACATTGATAACAATATTCGGTTGACCAAATTGCTGGCCCACAGATGGCTCCAACTTCATCCTATTCTCTGTTTGTATGTCTTATAATAATAAAAAGACTTTCAAATGAGATGATGTAGGTAAAAGCTCTTAGCTTATAAATACAGGTAGTAAAACCTCGACCGGAAAGTGAGATAAGAGTATACATATTCTTGGGAAAACTGTGCCAGAAACATGGGATAGGATGAGGTTTGATCTGAGAAAGTGTGGGGTGGCTTCAGATCTTTTAATCAAGAATCCTTCACTAGCATCATCCCAACTCCCCTTTAAGAAAACGAGGTAGAAAGGATATGAAAGGGAGATTAATATTTTAGATGGCTGTTTTATATCTTTTTGTATTACGAGGTATATACAGCTCCTCACTTAACGGCGGAGTTCCGTTCCTAAGAACTCGTCAGTAACCGAATTCATCACTAAGTGAGGAGCATGCTATAATGGTAGTGGGTTTGTGTCAACCATCTTTGATACTGTTTAAATGTCACCTTTGCACCATTTATGACATTTCTGGTATATTTTTAAATGTTTATACAGTAGTGTACTGTATATTGTAATAAACGGAATAGAGGAAATTAGTTCTAACATACATTATTTAGGCATGCATACTGGTCAGAGAGCCCGTCATAAGTCCGAGCCGTTGGTAAAAGAGTACGTCGCTAAGTGAGGAAAGGCTGTATACAATACTGAGAAATCTATTTTTTGTTTCTCATCACTATATTTCCAAGTAATCATCTTCCATAGTTTTTTATGATCTCTATTATACCTGACATTTCAGTCTTTCCCTTCCTCTTGCTTGGTCATTCTGTCATCACTCCATCTGTTTAATTTTAATACAGTCTAGTTCCTTGGTTTTTGCATTCTTCAGTTTCCAGACTACCTGCTTCAGTTCTTCATAAGCTAAAATAAAAATTTATTTGGAACTTTAACCTGGAGGGTTACCCACCCAGGATAACCTAAGAAAGTCAGTGCATCATCGAAGACTGTCTGTCTTATTTCCATTGGGGTCCTTCAATCTTGTCCCTCAAGATGTGACCCACAACAGTCGACTAACATCCCGGTAAGTACCTCCTGCTAGATGAACAGGGACAGCAGGTGTAAGGAAACCTTTTCTGCATGTATAAGTTCCATCAAACATCTTAACTACTGGGAACACCTGGAAGCACTTGACTTGTACTCACTGGAGTGCAGGCGAGAGAGACGTATCATAATCTACACTTGGAAGATTCCAAAGGAACTGGTTCCTAATCTGCACACAGAAATCATTCTCTATGAAAGCAAAAGACTTGGCAGGCGATGCAACATACCCTCAGTGAAAAGTAGGGACGCCACTGATACACTAAGAGAAAACACAATAAGTGTCTGGGGCCCAAGACTGTTAAACAGCCTCCCACCAGCCATAAGGGGCATTACCAATAGACCACTGGTTGTCTTCAAGAGGGAGCTGGACAGCTACCTAAAGTTGGTGCTGGATCAACCGGGCTGTGGTTTGTATGAACTACGTGCAGCCAGCAGTAACAGCCTCGTTGATCAGGCCCTTATCCACCGGGAGGCCTCATTGTGGACTGGGATGCAGGAATGTTGATCCCTGGAATACCCTCCAGGTATACTCCAGGTAGGTATGTTTCCACTCATGCTGGGGATTGAACCACGGATACTCACTGTGTGAGATGAGTGTTCCTGGTAACTGGTTAAATAGTCATGGACCATGAATGTTGACAGGGGTCTCTAAATATACCTATGGCACCTCACTTTTCTTGGGGCTTACCTTCTGAAGAGCAGGGGTGCCATAACCAGAATTACCATAACAAACATCTTATGCAAACAGGGCTTCGTGCAGGCTCCCAGTATCCATCTTACCATATCTGTCTAAAATGTCATATTTAAGTTACTTTCAGCATAAAATACAATTCCATCAGTAATTCTGATAAAGTTTGAAAATCCATGAATTTTAGCTAAAAAATCAGGTTTGTCTGAAGTGTTTTAAATGCTCCAAATCGTTGAAATATGCAGTAAAACATCATTTTTACCATATTTTTCGTACCCCCAGATTACCTATTGTTCAGGGGGTCAATTTCGCCTATCTGATGCCCACCATCACCATCCTCTCCATGTCCTTCCCCACCTGCGACAGTCTCAACCTTGAGAACATGACACTGGCGCAGAAAGAGGAGGAGTGGCAGATGAGGATGAGGGAGATACAAGGGGCCATTGCTGTCTCTGCCATTTTCCAGGTCTTTGTTGGCTACACAGGTAAGCGCTGGACGAATCCTTGTGGCTGTAAATATAGGTTTGCCTTGCATGACAGTATCCCTAAATTGTTTTAATATTTTTAGGCTGATATCCATCTTGGACATCAAAAACAAGAGGTACAGTCTGGCTAGGGAAGTATACATAATTATAGAAATTACAGAGGGCTGCCTCAGTTGCACCATGATTTATAAATGCACATATCAGTTAACAATAGTATATATATAGCCTCTCCTTGCGTAATGATGGAGTTCCGTTCCTAAGACCATGTCACTAAACGAATTTGTTGCTAAATGTGTGGAACATACTATAATGGTAGTGCGTCTGTGTCAACCATTTTTAATATTGTTCTAATGTCACCTTTGCACCATATATAACATTATTTAGGTATAAATACTGGGGTCCTCAATCTTGTCCCTCAGGATGCGACCCACACCAGTCGACTAACACCCAGGTACCTATTTGCTGCTAGGTGAACAGGACAATAGGTGTAAGGAAACGTGTCGAAATGTTTCCACCCGCCGGGAATCGAACCCGGGCCCTCCGTGTGTCAAGCGGGAGCTTTAGCCACCAGGCCACCGAGCCTGTTAATCCCCCTTATGTATACTGGTAGGCAGTTGAACAGTCTTGGGTCCCTGACACTTATTGTGTTCTCTTAATATACTTGTGGCATTCCTGCTTTTCATTGGAGGGATGTTGCATCTCCTGCCAAGTCTTTTTCTTTAATAGGGAATGATTTTTGTGTGCGGATTTGGGACTAGCCCCTCTAAGATTTTTCAGGTGTACATATATTATGTATTGAGGTAGTAGGTTGGTAGACAGCAACCACCCAGGGAGGTAGGATTGCTGGTGACCTTTTTCTGTCTATTGAACATGCAAGGTTTCAGGTACGTCTTGCTACTTCTACTTACTTCTACTTCTACTTACACGTCCGTACAAGCATATACAGCGGTCCCTTGTTTATCATCATTAATCTGTTCCTGGAAGTGCGACGATTATCAAAATAGATGATTTTCGAATCAATTTTCCCCATAAGAAATAATGTAAATACAATTAATCTGTTCCTGGCACCCAGAAGTATTAAAACAAAAATTTTTTTTACATGAAATATAGATGTAGTACATAAACAATACAATGGGACATGATGAATGAAACATTAACAGCATAACACTTACCTTTATTGGCGATTCTTCTTAGTGTATGGAAGACTGGAGGAGGAAAGAGATTTGATTAGTTACTGCTTGGAAGGGAAATCCCCTTCCATCAACACCTCAGGTACCAAATCCTTTTCTGGGGTTACATACTTCTCTTCTCTGTTTCTTAATGCCACTAGGACCAGCTTGAGAGTCACTGGAGTCCTGTCTCGCAAAAAAAGTGTCCAGAGAGCTCTGTTTCTGGCGTCTCTTTAAAACTTCCCTAAAATGGACCAAGACTCTGTCACTGTACAAGTTGCCAATATAGCTTGCAACATCCTTCTCAGGGTGATGTTTCTCCATAAATCTTTCCATCCTATCCCACATTTCAAAAATCTCCTTAATTTCTGAAGAAGGCACCTTCTTCCATCTCTCTTCCTCCTCTGCAGCAAGATTCTGAGCTGTGATCTGTTGCTGTTCCTGCTGAAGCTCTTGCAGCTCCTCAGTGGTTAGCTCTTCGTTGTGGTCCTCCACCAACTCTTCCACATCCTCCAAACTCACATCCAACCCCATGGAACTCCCCAATGCCACAATAGATTTCACAACTGACATAGGCTCATCAGGATCAGCCACAAACCCTTCAAAATCCCTCTTGTGGACACAGTCTGGTCACAATTTTCTCCAAGCAACAACAGCTTCCTTGATTTCCTTTTTCTTTGCCACAATGGAAGATATGGTTGTATGGGGTTTGTTATACATCCTGGCCAGTTCGGCCACACGTACGCCACTTTCATATTGTTCAATGATGTTTTTCTTAAATTCAATCGTATTTCTCACCTTCTTTACCAAAGGCTTGGCACTAGGAGCTTTCTTTGGAGCCATGGTAGCTTATTTAGCACTTGCAAGCACTAAAATGAATGGAATATTATGAAATATTTCATATGAACAAGTGAGGGGACCGTCGCTCACTGGTAAACAATGGCACACTGGCTGGGAAGGGAGGCCGAGGTGGCTCAGAGCTGTGAGTAAGCGTTGAGGACGAAAGACGATTAGCGAGTCAACCGACCATTTGCGAGCCAATGTTTGGACAAAAATAACGGGATGATTTCCGAAAAGGACGACTATTGAGCCCGACGATTATTGAGGGACCACTGTACATGTATGTGCAAACTTCTCTGGGTTTTCTTCTATTTTCTTCCTAGTTCTTGTTCTTGTTTATTTCTACTTATCTCCACGGGCAGTTGGAACAGAAGTCTTCCTCTGTAAGCCGTGTATGTTGTAAGAGACAACTAAAATGCCGGTAGCAAGGGTCTAGCAACCCCTTCTCCTTTATATACACAATGTAGTATAACTAAATTTAAAAAGAGTAACTTGAGTTTTTCTTTTTGGGCCACCCTGCCTCGGTGGGATATGGCTGGTCTGTTACAAGAAGATTATCATGTATCTTTCTTGCACATAAAACCTTTACCCCCTTTTCTCCAGAAAAAAACCATAACATGGGCGGGGATAGAACCCGTGATCAGAGAGTCATAACACTCCAGACTGATGCGTTAGCCACTGGGCCAGCTGGCTAAAGTATAATTCATCCAACTAGGTGTATTTATGCACCATAGGAAGGTTAGCATAGGCACACTGTAAGCACAAATGCAAGTTTTTGCAGGCTAATCTCCCGCCAGCTTGGCCGTGACTAACTCTAGCTCAAGTCCCCTCAAAGCCGTCATCATGACTCACGGAATTGTAATGATACAATTGCAAACAAACCATACCTTATTGTAGCTAGCTGACCATGTGGCTAATGTGTCGGTCTGGAGTTTTATGACTCTCTGATCATGGGTTCTATCCCCACCCATGGTATGCTTTATTAGCAATCATGTCATTACGATTTTGTGAGTCATTTCTCCATCCTTACTTAGGATGACCCCCTACATACATTCCTATTTTGCATTTATTTTTATTCAACTTTAATGAGATAATGATTGTATATTACTGTCAGTAAGCTTGGATTTTTTTTTTTTTAACAAGTCAGCCGTCTCCCACCGAGGCAGGGTGACCCAAAAAGAAAGAAAATCCCCAAAAAGAAAATACTTTCATCATTCAACACTTTCACCTCACTCACACATAATCACTGTTTTTGCAGAGGTGCTCAGAACACAACAGTTTAGAAGCATATATGTATAAAGATACACAACATATCCCTCCAAACTGCCAATATCCCGAACCCCTCCTTTAGAGTGCAGGCATTGTACTTCCCATTTCCAGGACTCGAGTACGGCTATATAAAAATAACCGGTTTCCCTGAATCCCTTCACTAAATATTACCCTGCTTACACTCCAACAGATCGTCAGGTTCCAAATACCATTCGTCTCCATTCACTCCTATCGAACACGCTCACGCATGCCTGCTGGAAGTCCAAGCCCCTCGCCCACAAAACCTCCCTTACCTCTTCTTTCCAACCTTTTCGAGGATGACCCCTACCCCGCCTTCCTTCCCCTACAGATTTGAACACTCTTCATGTCATTCTACTTTGATCCATTCTCTCTAAATGACCAAACCACCTCAACAACCCCTCTTCAGCCCTCTGACTAATACTTTTATTAACTCCACACCTTCTCCTAATTCCCACACTCGAACAGGCGATAAATGAAGTGCCCATGCACTCTGCCCCAGGGCCAGACTCATGGAACTCCGTGTTCATCAAGAACTGCAAGAAGCCCCTATCACGTGGTTTTACCATCCTATGGAGAGGGAGCATGGAGACGGGGGTCGTCCCACAGTTACTAAAAACAACAGACAGCCCCACTCCACAAAGGGGGCAGTAAAGCAATAGCAAAGAACTACAGACCGATACCACTAACATCCCATATCATAAAAATTTTTGTAAGGGTCCTAAGAAGCAAGATCACCACCCATCTAGATACCCATCAGTTACACAACCCAGGGCAACATGGGTTTAGAGCAGGTCACTCCTGTCTGTCCCAACTACTGGATCACTACGACAAGGTCCTAAATGCACTAGAAGACAAAAAGAATGTAGATGTAATATATACAGACTTTGCAAAAGCCTTCGACAAGGGTGACCATGGCGTAATAGCACACAAAATGCGTGCTAAAGGAATAACAGGAAAATGTAGGTAGATGGATCTATAATTTCCTCACAAACAGAAGACAAAGAGTAGTAGTCAACAGAGTAAAGTCTGAGGCGGCTACGGTGAAAAGCTCTGTTCCACAAGGCACAGTACTTGCTCCCATCTTGTTTCTCATCCTCATATCTGACATAGACAAGGATGTCAGCCACAGCAATGTCTTCCTTTGCAGATGACACCTGAATCTGCATGACAAGTGTCTTCCATTGCAGACACCGCAAGGCTCCAGGCGGACATCAACCAAATCTTTCAGTGGGCTGCAGAAAACAATATGAAGTTCACCAATGAGAAATTTCAGTTACTCCGATATGGTAAACATGAGGAAATTAAAACTTCTTCAGAGTACAAAACAAATTCTGGTCACAAAATAGAGCGAAAAACCAACGTCAAAGACCTGGGAGTGATCATGTCGGAGGATCTCACCTTCAAGGACCATAAAATTGTATCAATCGCATCTACTAGAAAAATGACAGGATGGATAATGAGAACCTTCAAAACTAGGGATGCCAAGCCCATGATGACATACTTCAGGTCGCTTGTTTTATCTAGGCTGGAATATTGCTGCATACTAACAGCACCTTTCAAGGCAGGTGAAATTGCTGACCTAGAAAACATACAGAGAACCTTCACGGCGCGCATAACGGAGATAAAACATCTCAATTACTGGGAGCGCTTGAAGTTCCTGAACCTGTACTTCATGGAACGCAGGCAGAAGAGATACATGATTATATACACCTGGAAAATCCTAGAGGGACTAGTGCCGAACTTGCACACGAAAATCACTCGCAACAAAAGCAAAAGACTCGGCAGACAATGCAACATCCCCCCAATGAAAAGCAGGGGTGTCACTAGCACATTAACCCAACTGTCCAAGCAGATCTACATTCACATGCGTAGTGCTCCAAAAGTAGATCTATGTTTTTTTACATATTTTCATATATAAAAAAAGTAGATCAAAGTTTTTTTACACTTTCAAATGTAAAAAAAGAAAAGAAGATCTACTTTTTTTACATACTTTCAAATGCTGAAAGAACGTAGATCTACGTTTGGACAGTTAAAGGGTTAAGAGACAATACAATAAGTGTCAGGGGCCCCGAGACTGTTCAACTGCCTCCCAGCATACATAAGGGGGATTACAAATAGACCTCTGGCTGTCTTCAAGCAGGCACTGGACAAGCACCTAAAGTCGGTACCTGACCAGCCGGGCTGTGGCCCGTACGTTGGATTGCATGCAGCCAGTAGTAACAGCCTGGTTGATCAGGCTCTGATACACCATGAGGCCTGGTCACAGACCGGGCTGCGGGGGCATTGACCCGGAACTGTCTCCAGGTAAACTCCGAATTTTCTGCATAATATTTACACCACACATTGCCCTTAGACAGGACATCTCCACTGCCTCCAACCACCTCCTCGCTGCTGCATTCACAACCCAAGCTTCACACCCATATACGAGTGTTGGTACTACTATACTTTCATACATTCCCTTCTTTGCCTTCATAGATAACGTTTTTTGTCTCCACATATACCTCAACACACCACTCGCCTTTTTTCCCTCATCAATTCTATGATTAACCTCATCCTTCATAAATCCATCCGCCGACACGTCAACTCCCAAGTACAGTATCTGAAACATTCACTTCTTCCATACTCCTCCTCCCCAATTTGATATCCAATTTTTCTTTATCAAAATCATTTGATACTGTAAGCTCATTTAATAATGCATTTTTAAAACAATGGGGACAATAATGTTCTCTCTTTCTATCTGCAGTGAACTTAGGTTTTCAGAATACATGTTTCAAATATATATGTATTAATCATATTCTGTTTTGCATTAGTACGTATATGAATATTGAGGTATGAATGATGAAACTATTTAAGCATGCTATTAATCACTTACTGAGTATATACAATCTAATTAAGAGTAAAGGACTGTAAGTAAAATAATGTGACACAGCATGTACTCGGTGGGAGACGGCCGACTTGTTAAAAAAAATATATATATATATATATATTATTTATTTTTATTTTTTTTTTTATTATCGCACTGGCCGATTCCCACCAAGGCAGGGTGGCCCGAAAAAGAAAAACTTTCACCATCATTCACTCCATCACTGTCTTGCCAGAAGGGTGCTTTACACTACAGTTTTTAAACTGCAACATTAACACCCCTCCTTCAGAGTGCAGGCACTGTACTTCCCATCTCCAGGACTCAAGTCCGGCCTGCCGGTTTCCCTGAACCCCTTCATAAATGTTACTTTGCTCACACTCCAACAGCACGTCAAGTATTAAAAACCATTTGTCTCCATTCACTCCTATCAAACACGCTCACGCATACCTGCTGGAAGTCCAAGCCCCTCGCACACAAAACCTCCTTTACCCCCTCTCTCCAACCTTTCCTAGGCCGACCCCTACCTCGCCTTCCTTCCACTACAGACTGATACACTCTTGAAGTCATTCTGTTTCGCTCCATTCTCTCTACATGTCCGAACCACCTCAACAACCCTTCCTCAGCCCTCTGGACAACAGTTTTGGTAATCCCGCACCTCCTCCTAACTTCCAAACTACAAATTCTCTGCATTTTATATATATATATATATTGACAGGTTTGGTGGGTCTGGTGATGCGCTGGGTGACACCACTCACTATTATACCCACAATCACCATGTTGGGACTAGCACTGTTCTCCCTGGGCACCAAGCAAGCCGCAACACACTGGGGCATCTCTTCACTGTACGTCACCCTCCTCACTCCTTTCAACCATGTGTACACATGAGGGTGGGAGGCAGTTGTACTGTATGTATTGAGTTTTTAGTTGGCCAAGTGATAGGTAATAATTAGATTAAGATAGGATGCATACTAGCATGCCAAAAAAGTGTTTCATATTTGTGGAACAAATTGCCTAGTGTACTCACTCAAGCAAATTGTTGGGAAGCTTTAAGGATGAGTTGAACAGATATATGAGAAGGAAACGTTGCTTAGAGAGGAAGACCTACCTGGTATGGCCCACAAGCCTTATTTAATGCTCATTTTTTCAATAAAGTGGTGAGTAGTCTCTCACATCTGTTAGTAATTGCTTGATAGTGCAGTAGTCCATTGTAACATTTCTGATAGAACATGTATCCCACTTCTGTAGAACACTGCTGCTGCTGGTACTGGTGTCACAGTACTTAAAGAACCTAAAGACTCCTTTACCTGCATTTACTGGTCCAAAGGGATTTCATATTGTGTGGATCCCGCTCTTCACGTACTTCCCGGTAAGTAAAAGGGCTTAGAAGAGGCACTTGTAAGATGGGACAATGACAACCTAGAAAGAATGATAGAAAGTAATATACTTTGCTTTGCCTCACTACAAGTTATGAGGAGTTAAGTTGGTTTATCTTAATATTTTCCATGTATCTCTGTGTATACTGTACTCATTCAATAACAGAAAAGAGGCTTAACAAAAAAAGTTCAGTATTCCAGTGACAGGTGAAGAGAGCATTTCTATCTATAAAAATCAGGGGCTGAGGTAGTGTGAAAACTGTTCCTCATATTATCCTTAGAAGCACATCTAGCCATTCTTATCTATAGAATACTGGACACAGAAGTGATTTGTGCCAGTATTCTTTCATAATGCATGCAGTTTGTAGGAAATTTGCCTTGGCTTACCAATTTACTTGGCTTACCAATACTACTTAGAGCATTTTTTTTTTTTTTGTAAGAAACCAAGGGTGTTGTCAATATGGAAGAATATTTTCAACTCTGCTCTATATCTTATTGCAAGTCTAAATATGATACATGTATGTTATATTGAATGACATGTAATCTTTTTCATAATTCACAAACACTTCAATTCCCAGGTAAGAACCAGAAATAATGGATTTAAGTTGGATAAATTTAGATTTAGAAAGGACATGGGTAAGTACTGGTTTTCTAACAGAGTTGTAGATGCGTGGAACAGTCTTCCCAGTGGGGTGATAGAGGCTAGGACTTTGGGTAGCTTTAAGAAGTGACTGGACAAATATATGAGTGGGAGGGGCTGGGTTTGATTGGTGTCATTAGGTACGGGAGTTATTTCTTGGGTAGCTTTAGGTAGAGGTCGTTTTGATAAGGACCTGCCTCGCATGGGCCAGTAGGCCTTCTGCAGTGTTCCTCCATTCTTATGTTCTTAAACAAATTACAGTATTATATTCATGGGGCAGAGCAGTAAAGTCATAGGGATCAGGTTCAATCAAAGGATGAAAAGGGCAAATGCAATTTCTTGGATCAAAAGACCTTCTTTGAGGGAGGTTCTTTAATGCCAGTGGTATGGATTGCATTGCATTAAGATTTATGGTTAAAATCTAAGATGGGTTAGTATTGGTAGTAGTAGTAATTAGTTTAGAAAAATGAATTTTTCCTGCAGTATTATAATTATTTGGAAGACACTATACCTGTAGGGGGTCATATAATTTGGAAGAGGGGAAAGAGAGCTAAATCTCTAGGGGTCATACAGTGCATGGGAAATTAGGAGTCAGGTTCAGTCCAAGGAAGGAAAGGACATGTTCAATGCCTTTGATCAGAAGTGTCTCACCAACACCAAGGAACCTCTCTAGAGGGAAGAAAATATGAAGATAATAGCAGAATATATTAATTGCATATAAAATTGTAGCAATAATAATGTAATGCTGTATGCAATAATTAACAAATACCCAACTTTGTTAGTTACTAAGGTTGCTATCATTCTTGCATTCATGGTAAATGTACCATTAGCTGCTGCTGGTGGTGTTTTTCTCTTGGGCCCTTTGTGGGGTCCTCACCGCCTACAACCTCCTCCCTGAGGGATCTCTTGCTCGTACCGATTCCTCAGGTCTGCTCATCAGAGACTCCAGTTGGTTCAGAATCCCTTACCCAGGTCAGTATTCACTATCAGGTTCAGTTCTTCCTCTTTTCAATCCTTTACCTGGAATTACCTATGGAAGAAACTGGTTCATATCATTCACAAAGTGAAGATACAGGCAGGTCTTGCTTTACAGCACTTATCTTTTTGTTTTGCTACTGCAGTGTTTTTTCAGTTATACCTATTCTTCATATATTCAGATTTCTTACAATAAATGTATTCACCACTCGCTATAAGCTATGAAAATATTTTAAGGTAAGTAATGTGTGTACTGTATATATATATTTTTTTAGGCCTACTTCTATTGCTAACTTAATATATGAAGGTGTAAACATGTTATCAGGCTTTTATATGCATTTGAAAATGAAAAAAGGCCGTTTCATTTTCCAGCAGTAGCCTGGATCCTAACCTGCTGTATAAACAGAGCCTGCCTGTATTAACTAGACTTTCTGGTTCATCCTGGACAATTATTATTAGTAAGAAAGGAAAGCCTCCAGTTTGTTTTTATATAGATGTTTGATTTTCTCAGGAAATTATGTGCTTTAATATTCAGGACATGTATGACTTGATCTGACCTCCCTCTAGTTTAGCCTGGCTTTTGATTTATTTTAGCCTTTTCTTCACACTTTACCTAAAGACAGCCTTAGAATTAGTATTATTATATTAAAAACATGTAATAAACTTTTATCGCTCATATAGCACTGTAAGTAAGGGTGTGCAAGGATAGATGTTAGTGGAGGTGGAGTTTGCATGACTGAATGTCATATAATTTCCACTTCTCATTTCTGGGTTGTACAAGTGCTGGTATGTTAATACCTACAGACTGTGGGAATAAATCACACATGAACAATTAAGAAAGAAGTTTATTGAATGAAACATTTTGCCAAATTGGTGGCAACAGACATTTTAAGTTCACGGGAAGACCACCAATAATGACGACCTTATTCATATCCACTTAGCAGGGAGTCATCATTGGGATTTCCACCCCACTCTCTTGAGGGGAAATGCGAGTACAGACGCTACTCTACTTATGAACATTTGGGTTCGGACATACAAACAAACTGCTGTGTTTACCTGGAGTTTACCTGGAGAGAGTTTCGGGGGTCAACGCCCCCGCGGCCCGGTCTGTGACCAGGCCCCTGGTGGATCAGAGCCTGATCAACCAGGCTGTTACTGCTGGCTGCACGCAAACCAACGTACGAGCCACAGCCCGGCTGGTCAGGAACCGACTTTAGGTGCTTGTCCAGTGCCAGCTTGAAGACTGCCAGGGGTCTGTTGGTAATCCCCCTTATGTATGCTGGGAGGCAGTTGAACAGTCTCGGGCCCCTGACACTTATTGAATGGTCTCTTAACGTGCTAGTGACACCCCTGCTTTTCATTGGGGGGATGTTGCATCGTCTGCCAAGTCTTTTGCTTTCGTAGTGAGTGATTTTCATGTGCAAGTTCGGTACTAGTCCCTCTAGGATTTTCCAGGTGTATATAATCATGTATCTCTCCCGCCTGCGTTCCAGGGAATACAGGTTTAGGAACCTCAAGCGCTCCCAGTAATTGAGGTGTTTTATCTCCGTTATGCGCGCCGTGAAGGTTCTCTGTACATTTTCTAGGTCAGCAATTTCACCTGCCTTGAAAGGTGCTGTTAGTGTGCAGCAATATTCCAGCCTAGATAGAACAAGTGACCTGAAGAGTGTCATCATGGGCTTGGCCTCCCTAGTTTTGAAGGTTCTCATTATCCATCCTGTCATTTTTCTAGCAGATGCGATTGATACAATGTTATGGTCCTTGAAGGTGAGATCCTCCGACATGATCACTCCCAGGTCTTTGACGTTGGTGTTTCGCTCTATTTTGTGGCCAGAATTTGTTTTGTACTCTGATGAAGATTTAATTTCCTCGTGTTTACCATATCTGAGTAATTGAAATTTCTCATCGTTGAACTTCATATTGTTTTCTGCAGCCCACTGAAAGATTTGGTTGATGTCCGCCTGGAGCCTTGCAGTGTCTGCAATGGAAGACACTGTCATGCAGATTCGGGTGTCATCTGCAAAGGAAGACACGGTGCTGTGGCTGACATCCTTGTCTATGTCAGATATGAGGATGAGGAACAAGATGGGAGCGAGTACTGTGCCTTGTGGAACAGAGCTTTTCACCGTAGCTGCCTCGGACTTTACACTGTTGACTACTACTCTCTGTGTTCTGTTAGTGAGGAAATTATAGATCCATCAACCGACTTTTACTGTTATTCCTTTAGCACGCATTTTGTGCGCTGTTACGCCATCATCACACTTGTCGAAGGCTTTTGCAAAGTCTGTATATATTACATCTGCATGCTTTTTGTCTTCTAGTGCATCTAGGACCTCGTCATAGTGATCCAATAGTTGAGACAGACAGGAGCGACCTGTTCTAAACCCATGATGCCCTGGGTTGTGTAACTGATGGGTTTCTAGATGGGTGGTGATCTTGCTTCTTAGGACCCTTTCAAAGATTTTTATGATATGGGATGTTAGTGCTATCGGTCTGTAGTTCTTTGCTGTTGCTTTACTGCCCCCTTTGTGGAGTGGGGCTATGTCTGTTTTTTTAGTAACTGTGGGATGACCCCCGTGTCCATGCTCCCTCTCCATAGGATGGTAAAGGCTCGTGATAGGGGCTTCTTGCAGTTCTTGATGAACACGGAGTTCCATGAGTCTGGCCCTGGGGCAGAGTGCATGGGCATGTCATTTATCGCCTGTTTGAAGTCATTTGGCATCAGGATGACATTGGATAGGCTTGTGTTAACCAAATTCTGTGGCTCTCCCATAAAAAATTCATTTTGATCTTCGACTCTCAGTCTGGTTAGCGGCTTGCTAAAAACTGAGTCATATTGGGACTTGAGTAGCTCACTCATTTCCTTGCTGTCATCTGTGTAGGACCCATCTTGTTTAAGTAGGGGCCCAATACTGGACGTTGTTCTCGACTTTGATTTGGCATAGGAGAAGAAATACTTTGGGTTTCTTTCGATTTCATTTATGGCTTTTAGTTCTTCCTGTGATTCCTGACTCTTATAAGATTCCTTTAGCTTAAGTTCGATGCTTGCTATTTCTCTGACCAGTGTCTCCCTACGCATTTCAGATATATTGACCTCTTTTAGCCGCTCTGTTATTCTTTTCCATCGCCTGTAAAGGGAGCGCCTGTCTCTTTCTATTTTACATCTACTCCTCCTTTTACTTAGAGGAATAAGCCTTGTGCATACATCGAGTGCCACCAAGTTAATCTGTTCTAGGCATAAGTTGGGGTCTGTGTTGCTTAGTATATCTTCCCAGCTTATATCAGTTAGGACTTGGTTTACTTGGTCCCACTTTATGTTTTTGTTGTTGAAGTTGAATTTGGTGAATGCTCCCTCGTGACTAATCTCATTATGTCGGTCTGGGCTCCGCGCATACATGTCTGAACCTCAATTATGTTGTGATCTGAGTATATTGTTTTTGATATGGTGACATTTCTTATCAGATCATCATTGTTAGTGAAGATGAGGTCTAGTGTATTCTCCAGTCTAGTAGGCTCTATTATTTGCTGGTTTAAATTGAATTTTGTGCAGAGATTTAAAAGCTCGTGTGAGTGTGAGTTTTCATCAGAGCTGCCTCCTGGTGTTATTACTGCAACAATATTATTTGCTATATTCCTCCATTTTAGGTGCCTTAAGTTGAAATCCCCCAGGAGCAAGATGTTGGGTGCAGGAGCTGGAAGATTTTCCAGACAATGGTAAATTTTTAACAGCTGTTCCTGGAATTGCTGGGATGTTGCATCCGGAGGCTTGTAGACTACCACAGTGACTAGGTTTTGGTTCTCGATCTTTACTGCTAAAACTTCCACTACATCATTTGAGGCATTAAGCAGTTCTGTGCAAACAAGTGACTCTGCAATGTACAGGCCAACCCCTCCAGCCACGGTATTGTGCCTTTTTTGTTATTTATTTGCCTGTTCACTCTGTCACATCTGTATAGGTTGTAACCTGGGATCCATATTTCGTTGTCCAAGTGATCCTTTATGTGGGTCTCAGTGAAAGCCGCGAACATTGCCTTTGCCTCTGCAAGCAGTCCACGGATGAAAGGTATTTTGTTGTTTGTTGCTGGCTTTAGACCCTGTATATTTGCAAAGAAGAATGTCATTAGACTGGTGGTATTGTTGGTACTGGGGGGGGATTTTTTTCCGGCATTAGTATCTGTATCTGTTGGTTTGGAGTGGAGGCCATCGACTGTGGTTCCACTCCAGGAATGACTGGATTTGGTGTACAATTTCTGCCATTTCCTGCCAGTTTTTTTTTTCCTTCCTGGCACTAAAAAACCTCTCCCTCTTGAGTGGCTGTGGCTACCCAGGTTTTCCCATGGCCTGAATGTTTTGTATCTTTTTGTCCCCTTTAGATGGTGTGCCTGGCAATTTAAGTTATAGCACAGTCTTTCCTGTACTGAAGAGGTACACATTTCAGGGTGAAAAAGCTTACAGGAAGGGAGTTTGTATTTTGATGTTGTCATAGGGGCACGGCATTTTCTAGGGTGGTCATAGTTGCACGTCCCGTCTGTTTTTCCAGATTTCCCATGTCTGCAGATACCAAGTGCATAGTATGTGCACAGGCTTGGTTTCCGTTTGCCTTGGGTTTCTGTGACTGTATTCCCTGTTGCATGTTTACCTGTCTTATTCCTATCCTCCCTAGCACCAACAATGTAGCTCCCACCAGTTGTTTTTGGTAATATATCCTCACTATTGCTAATGGAGTCCTCTTGTTTGCTATTTCCTGTGGTATTTCTAGTTTGCAATATTGGTTTTTATCTTATCTTTGACTACACTTGTTTCCCCACTACGGCTCCTGTCCCCTATGAGGTCATTTACATGTATTCCTTCCTGCGTATAATTCCCGACTACCTGGACAAAATCTCCAGCTTCACCATTACTGTCTCCCAGGACAGCACCTCCAGCTTCATCATTACTGTCTCCCAGGACAGCACCTCCAGCTTCACCATTACTGTCTCCCAGGACAGCACCTCCAGCTTCACCATTACTGTCTCCCAGGACAGCACCTCCAGCTTCACCATTACTGTCTCCCAGGACAGCACTATCAGCCCCACATTTACTGACAACCAGGACATTACCTCCAGCCTTACAGTTTCTGACTACATGGCCAGTATCAAGGGCAGTACCATTCAGCCCAGACTTTTTATGTTCCCCTCTGTTGTAGAAAGCTTCCAGGTTTTCTATGAAAGCAGCTTTGATGTTATCCTCTTTTAATATCCTTGTGATTTTAGTCCACAGATTTATCTCATTTGGGCATACCCAAAAACACTTCCCTGTTTTAATACTGCTTGTAGCTAGTTCTTGGATATCTGCACAAGGGACGTGACACCAATTTCCACAAAAAAGACAATTTATCGATGTGGAAGCCTGTTTGTTTGATTGACTGCAGACTATACAGAGCTTCATAATGATTTGAATGGTTGATTTACTGTAATTCTACTTGCAACCTCTTGAATATTCTATTAATAACCTCCTTAAATGAAGCTCTAGCTATTTATATTTCTATTTCTAACTGTACTTGTATATTGGACAGCTTACCATGTACGTTCCTGATTTATATTTATTGTTTGTGTTTGATAAGGGCGCCTACGACCCCATCCGTTTACAGTCTGCTTTAGTTGAAGTTCCATTTGCAATTCTTCCGCAAATCCAAATTTTGAGTTGCTGCCTTCTACATAGTAGGACATTTTGCCGTAACCCATGCCAGGGAGCACCAAAGTCAATGGAGCTGACGATTGAAGATTTGATGGAGCTGGAAGAGATGCAGCGTAAAGAAGAGCAGGAGGAATGAGATGAAACTGTTCCTTCTAAAAGTTTGAGATGAAAATGATGGCTGAGGCATTTTCTCTTATAGAGAGAGGTCTCCGTATGTTTGAGCTTCAGGACCCAAACATCGAAAGATTCTCAAAGGTTTCAACTGGTGTTAACAATTCTATCTCATGCTATTGTCTTACATATGATGAGGAGAGAGAAAAATGGTGCAAACTTCCTTAGACAGATTCTTCAGACCAGTGCTTTCTACCTCAAAAGTCTCTTCAGATGTTGAAGAAACCCAGGCTTATGAAACCCTGACTGACAAAGCATTTGATGACGAAGTGTATGAGGTTGATGACCCTCTCCCCCAGTAGCCCCACACAACCTCCGATCTTCCTTTCATCTATCACCTTAAGTTTATTGTACCAATTAAAAAAGGTAAGACTTTTTTATTACAGTATGTATTTATTATTAAAATATACTTTAGTATTAAGAGCCGTACATTGCTGATACTGTACATTATTATCTTTAAGTTTTCAATGAACAACGGCACAGAGAGAGAACAATAATAATAATGGTAATAAAATTCAAAACAATAGTTATAACTGTAACAATAGAAAAATGTCAAAATAACGACTTACGAACAATTCAAGGTACGAACATCCTTCTGGAACGTAACTTGTTCGAAAGTTGGGGGCATCTGTACATTGAATGTGTTTTTACAAAAAGAAACTCTTCCTGTTAGTATACTTCATCTTTGAGTGTAAAAGGGGCACCTTCCACATAATCAGAGACTGCAGCACCAATTCACATGAGAACGAAAAGGCACAGTACCATGACTGGAACAATATACAAATAACCTGCACATAAGAGAGAAGAGTTTATGACGATGTTTTGGTCTAACTGGGTCCAAATTGGACTGAATGATCATCATAAGCTCCTCTCTTCTATGTGCAGGTTATATCAATATTCACACGAGAGAATTTTCACCAGGTACATAGTCCTTTCTGTCAGCAGTGTAGCCAGCAACATATCTCCAGCACTCGTATGAGGGTAGCAACTAGTTCCATGAACACCATCAGGGACCTGGTTGACTTGAAACCAGCCAGCTTTGCAGAAACCAGTGCTGGTATGTATAGGATTCTTTACAAGGGTGCAAGAATGTGTACATTTGGAAAGCAGATAAGACCCTGGACCAGTGTACGTATTTGGGAATACAGATAAGCCTACAGCCATGATATTAACAATGCATGTCTGGTATTGTATCATGTAGTCATGCGATGAGGTAGTGAGGGGGAGCAGAACTGCTTATCAAAGAGTGATTTACTTAGATCATCTGTGCCCGGAAGCCTAAATTATTGCGTTTTCAAACACTGCCGCATGAAATTGAGGGAACTTGAGCAGCTTCAGAACTCTTACCAACATGACCTGCATAACTGCGATAAACCACCTCAATTACTGGGAACGCTTGAAGTTCCTAAACCTGTACTCCCTAGAATGCAGGAGGGAGAGATACATGATTATATACACCTGGAAAATCAAAGTGGGACTAGTAGCAAACTCGCACACGACAATCACTCCCTATGAAAGCAATAGGTTGGGCAGACAGTGCAACATCCCCCCAATGAAAAGCAGGGGTGCCACTAGCACGATAAGAGACAATACAATTAGTGTCAGGGGCCCAAGACTGTTCAACTGCCTTCCAGCATACATCAGGGGGATTACCAATAGACCCCTGGGTGTCCAAGCAGGCACTGGACAGGCACCTAAAGTCAGTGCCTGACCAGCCGGGCTGTGGTTTGTATGCTGGATTACGTGCGGCCAGCAGTAACAGCCTGGTTGATCAGGCCCTGATCCACCATGAGGCATGGTCACAGACCAGGCCACAAGGGTGTTGACCCCCGGAACTCTCTCCAGGTAACCAACCAAGACATTGCCATCATGTGGCAAGAATATAGAGCATAAGAATGGAGTACTGTAGTAGGCCCACTGACCCATGCTAGGTAGGTCCTCAGATTCAGCCCTTTCCACTCTTGCAGTACATAGCACCACCCACTCGTCTGACAAATGACCTCTCTACTCTGATTTTCTGGGTTGCATCCATCCTTTCTCCACTGTACTGTACTTTTAGTCATTTCTCTATTAGGATTGCAAAAGACACCAGTGATGAACATCTTCAATAAATGCTCTGATCATGCATGTGTCACATTCCCAAACATTTGTGAGTTAGTCTGAATTGTTAAAGTTATTGTATTCTAATTTTTTCTTTGTCATTCATGTTTCTGAATGGCCATTTTGGTAGCAAATTGAAACATCAGTCTCTTAAACTTCTTGCTGTTGTCATTTTTATTTTCTTCATGGGGAAGCTCTAAATCCATAGGTTCATACAGCATCTAGGAAATGGGAGGTAGTCAATGAGTTGATTTAAGGGAAGGGTTGCTGTAGTTCCTCAGAACATGAGCCCTTTACCATAATCAAGGCAACCTCTTTCCGATTCTTTTATACTGATTTGATTTACAGTACCTGCTGCTGTGTATAAAACTGAAACTTCACAAGATTTTCTTTCTAATACTTTTTTATGCTTATTAATTCCAGTTGACAAAAGAATTCCTTGGTACATTGGCATTTGTTTCTTATTATTATTATTATGTTCATGGGGGGCATTAAACTTTTGTTATATAGTGCCCAAAAAAATGGGAGGCAGTCAGGCTTGATCCAAAGAAGAGATGAAGAGCCCTTCATCAACATAAAGGCACCATCTTCCTCTTGACTGGTAGTGCTGATATAGAGGTGGTGGCACTTAATATATCATGCTGCAGGTTTCTTTGGTAGGCTTAACCATAGCAATATTGTATGTTGCAGGTCAGTGGGGGGCACCAACGGTGAGTGCGTCAGCAGTAATTGGAGTAACAGCGAGTGTCATTGCCTCCATCATCGAGAGTATTGGGGACTACTATGCATGTGCCAAACTTTGCAGTGAGTCTTCACCCTCCAGTCAAGTACCTTAAAAGAATTTAATAAAATACTGTGTGATAACTGAATTTGAAACACTAAATAAACCTGAAGTGGTGTATTGACAGGGAAGAATAGTTTAAGAGGTAGTGTTATTTTCTCATTTTCTTAAGAATGTAGCCATGATTGTTGATAATTGAGAAAGTTATGGCATACAATATCAGGGCTTATATTAGAATGGAAATTTGGGCAAGAATTATGTATCAGTATTCTTGTGAGGAAGCAATGACTGAAACCTTATACACTTATAATGGCCAGTAGTGTCATTTGACTGACCTTGACAAGAAAGGTAGTGATACAGTAATTCTTTTGTCTAAATAAGTCACATGATGTGATCTATCATGACTTAATGCTGATTACTCTGTGCCACAGAGACAGCCTCACCACCAGTGCATGCAGTGAACCGTGGGGTTGCCTTTGAGGGCTTGGGTTGCATCCTGGCAGGTCTCTTTGGCACCAGTAGTGGCACTGCCTCCTACACCTCCAACATCATGCTCATCGGTGTCACTAAGGTATGTGGCCCAGAATTTACACAACCTCCTGCAATACTTCCATTACACAACAAAACTGATTGATGTCACTGAGGTCCATGACCTAGACATTGCAACACTCTCTCCAACATGTATAGGTTTTCTGAGGATTTTACAGTTTTTTTTTTCTCAAGAAACCGACCATATCCCACCAAGGCAGGGTGGCCCAAAAAAGAAAAACTAAAGTTTCTCTTTTAAAATTTAGTAATTTATACAGGAGAAGGGGTTACTAGCCCCTTGCTCCTGGCATTTTAGTCGCCTCTTACAACACACATAGCTTACGGAGGAAGAATTCTGTTCCACTTCCCCATGGAGATAAGAGGAAATAAACAAGAACAAGAACTAGTAAGAAAATAGAAGAAAACCCAGAGGGGTGTGTATATATATGCTTGTACATGTATGTGTAGTGTGACCTAAGTGTAAGTAGAAGTAGCAAGAAGTACCTGAAACCTTACATGTTCGTGAGACAGAAAAATGGACACCAGCAATCCTACCATCATGTAAAACAATTACAGGCTTTCGTTTTACACTCACTTGGCAGGACGGTAGTACCTCCCTGGGTGGTTGCTGTCTACCAGCCTACTACCTATAGATTTTACAGATATGCATATAAATACTGTATGGTGGCAAGTTAATTAAATTGTGGGGATTTTCAAGGCCCTCAGAGGCTGAACATGAACCAAAGATGAAGCAGATTTTCTTACTGTTTTGCCACACTGGTGCTGGAATAGGAAAGTGGCAGCTTTGGAATCTTTAGTAGTTTTGATGAGCTAGGGACCTAATTCTCTGATGAAACTTGTGGCCCTTTTACCCCAGGGACAGAGGGTCTCTGATCATATTGGAACAAAGTGGTACTGATGGGCTAAACCTTTGTTGAGATTGTGTTCTTCTCTGTCCAGCAGCACTATGTTGTTAATTAATCAACACTATGCACATGCATAATTCCACAACATAGTCTGCCATTATTCAGAGGTATGTGATCCCATCGGGGTAGATAGCAGGCATATTAAAGTTGTTGGGTAATAGACGAGGTTCTCTCTCCCAGATGGGCACTTGGTTATGGCAAGACATTAGTTGAAGGAATAAAGAAACAGAAACAGGGACAATATTGGATAAAAGCCTGCTGGATGCTCAAAGCTCCTAGCACATAAACTAACTTTACTTCCCTCCCTCTAACCCTTCCTGGGACTACCCTTAACCTTCCTTCCATTTCAGATTTATGCCCCTTGTCATTCTTATTTGCTCCTTTCTCTCTAAATATCTACCCCATCTCAACAACCCTTCTTTAACTTTTTGAGTTATACCTTTGGTAATCCCACACCACCTTCTATTCTTTGCATAATATTAGCACCATACATTGTTCCAAAACATGACACTTCCACTGCATCTAGCCTCCTTGCTGGCCATAGATAAACTTTGATATATTTATAGATTCAGTATATTTATAGATGGGATTGTAAGAGAAGTGAGTTCTCGGTGTTGTCAAGAGGTGTGGAATTATAAGACGAAGAATCTAAAACAAAGTGGGAGTTGTCACAGTTGCTTTTTGCTAATGACACTGCTTTTGGGAGATTCTGAAGAGAAGCTGCAGAGGTTGGTGACCGAGTTTGGAAAGGTATGTAAGAGAAGGAAATTAAAAGTGAACATAGGAAAGAGTAAGGTGATGAGGATAACACACACAAAAAAAATTGGTAACGAAAGATTGGATATCAGATTGGAAGGAAAGAGTATGGAGGAAGCGAATGTATTCAGATATTTGGGAGTGGACTTGTCAACAGATGGGTCTATGAAAAAATGAGGGAATCATAGAATTGATGAGGGGAAAAATGTGAGAAGTGCATTGAGGAGCCTTTGGAGACAAAAAACGTCATCCATGGAAGCAAAGAGGGGAATGTATGAGAGTATAGTTATACTAGCACTCTTATATGGGTGTGAAGCATGGGTGGTGAATGTTGCAAAAAGGAGATGGCTGAAGACAGTGGAGATGTCATGTTTGAGGGCACTGTGCAGTGTGAATATAATGCAGAAAATCTGAGGTGCGGGGTTACTAAAATTATTATTCAGAGGGCTGAAGAGGGGTTGTTGAAGTTCTCACATTAGAGAGGATGGAACAAAATAGAATGACTTGAAGAGCATATAAATCTGTAGTGGAAAGAGGGGTAGGGGTTGGCCTAGGAATGGCTGGAGGGAAGGAGTAAAGGAAGTTTTGTGTGCAAAGGGCTTGGACTTCCAGCAGGCATGCGTGAGCATGTTAGATAGGAGCGAGTGGAGACAAATGGTTTTTATGCCTTGACATGCTGTTGGAGTGTGAGCAGGTTAACATTTATGAAGGGATTCAGGGAAACTGGCAAGCCAGACTTAGTCCTGGAGGTGAGTACAGTGCCTGTGCTCTAAAGAAGGGGTGTTGATGTTGCAATTTTTTGACTGTTGTGAAGGTGTGCATCTGGCAAGATAGTGATGGAGTAAATGATGATTAAAGTGTTTCTTCTTTTTTGGGTCACCCTGCCTTGGTGGGAAATTGGTGTGTTAATAAAAAAAAATAAAATAGACTTTCCACAGAAGCCTCAACACACCACCCACTTTTTCCCCTCATCCATTCTTATCTTTCATATTATTGTGCATGTTTATTTTGAGGTATTTTTGTTGGTTTTTATTATCAAGCCTAAAATAATAATGGTAACTCACAGGTTGCAAGTCGTCGAGTTGTTCAGGTGAGCGGAGTATTGATGTTGGTGGCAGGGACCTTCAGTAAAGTGGGTGCTATATTTGCCACCATTCCTGAGCCTGTGTTGGGAAGCGCACTCATATTTATGTTCTCCCTCATCACTGGCGTGGGACTCTCTACTCTCAAGATCATCGATCTAAATTCCAACAGGAACCTCATGGTTCTTGGGTTATCCATCTTCATAGGACTTGCACTCCCAGAAGTATGATTATCATAATTTATTGTACACAAAAAATAAACCCTTGCCCAACTGCTTTCCATACATTCTTGACAAATGTACTGTATTATTATTTAATGTTAATTTTTATTGATGCTGTTATTTGAGAATATTGTATATAATTCAAACAAGAAATGCTTATGAATGTTTTGCAAAAGAATCAGTTTATTTCAGTGGATGATGAAGAACCCCCAGGCTATCAAAACAGGTTGGCTATTAATGGATCAGTCTCTTACCTCTCTGCTGCAGACTTCCATGTTTGTTGGTGGCATCTTGGGCTTCATTCTTGACAATAGTATGCCAGGTAAATTATTGAGCCTTAAGGTATATATGTGTAGCTAAGGTATATCTGTATTATTGCATTCCCTGGAGTAGTGCTAAATCTGTAGGGGTCACACATCTGAGGAAAGGGAGGTAATCAGGTTCAGTCTAAGGGAAGGATGAATCAGATTTTTGGATCAAGAGCCACTCACTACCATAGACACCTTTGAGAGGTTTATCTGTTAGTAATGGATTGTTTCTAAGGCTCATTAGTGTCTCCCTGGTAAATTAGTTTATCCCAGATAAATTATTGTAACATGGCAGCCAAAGGAAAATGGGGAAGAGGTATGGATGCAATTCAAATGGTGGTTTACTCTGTATGGTTAATTGCTGACGAGCAGGAATGATTATTTTTTTTTAATTATGTACATATTTATTAAGTTCATGGGAGCACCTGGGAAAATTGGAGGCAATCTGGTTCCAGCCAAGAAAGATTATTATAATCAAAAAGAAGCACTAAGCCACAAGGACTATACAGCCAGCCAAGAAAGAGATCAGGTTCAATTCTTTGGATCAAGAGTCCCTCACTAGCATCAGGGAATCTCCTGGGCTTTTTTTTTTTTTAATTGGAACTTTAACCCCCATATGCCAGCAGATGACATCACTGATACACAAAACTAGTATACCAAGGGTAATCACTGAGTGGATGATCATTTGACTAAGACCCACATCCGGAGACTTTTCTCTACAAATATAATTCCACCAGGTACAGACAAAGAGCGAGGACTGCTACAGTGGAACTACCATCTTGATGCCCAGCGGCCACTCCAGTCTTCTAGTAACCCTGCTGCCCACTGCTATGACCTACCCTATGGCATGAAATATCTCGCAAGGTAAGTGCATGTTATGCTGATGTGCACTCTGATAAAAGAAGATACGTGGAGAGGAATGCAAGGTGCAGACATTGATGTCAGGAATAAAGAAAAAGGAAGTAATTTAGTACTGTACCAGGGAAGGTACTCAGATTGTAGTAAATTGGCTATAGATAAAGAATGTGTATTACTACATTAAAAAATGTGCTAAACTATTACGGGGCCTTAAGAAGTTTGTTTTTATTTTATTTACAAAGTACTAGAACTTTTAAGTTATTCAGAGCATTAAACATTATCCCTTTCTGATATTACCATTAACTTGCTACTGTTGACTAATTTACTCTTGTAGTATTGTATGTAGGTCATAATCACAAAGCAATAACAATTATCCAAGGTTTTGTGTAATCCCTATCCATAATTCTTTTAATGTCATCAGCCATAAGTAGCATTACTAAATTTATGTTATAATTAATAACTTTCTATTGTCATGACTAATTCAGTCTTGGAATACTACAGAAATAGGGCATGATAACCAGGTGATTATCAGATTCACAAATTTATATTCATTAGGAATCTTAAAGAGATTTTACTTCATTATGAGAGCTCTGAAAAGAATCTCCAGAGCTTACTTTTAAGTTCCTGAAGTGTAAATAAGTTTCTTTGAAATTTTATTATTGAAATCACTACTTATATGTCAGAAAAAATTTAGTCCGAGTGGAATGACTTGAAAGAGGCTTAGTGAAGTAGCTAGCCTTATGTGAATTAATGGTTCCAGTAAAGACTGTACGAGTACAACTCTTCAAAACAAATACACTCCACAAATAAATTCTCAAGGTCTAAAAGGATTGTAAAAATTTGCCCTTAAATTAGTTGAAAAGAATTATTGCAAAATCTGTATATTATTATTATTATTATTATAATCAAGGGGGAAGCGCTAAACCCGGAGGATTATACAGCGCCTGGGGGGGGGGATGTGGAAGGCATTCAGGCTTAATTCGGGGAACTGGAGCACAGATCCAATTCCCTAAATCAAGAGCCCCTCACCAACATCAAGGAACCTTCCTTGAGGGGCAAAATCTGTATAGCAAGCCAAAATTTTACAGCAAAGTTATTGAACATTGGCTCCAGTATCCAGAATTCCATTGAAAAGTGAATTGCAAATGATTATTAATGTTCATTCTTGAGCTTTATCAAAAAACTTAATGTCATTTGCTTATCCTAGTAATTTTATCAAGACTTGACACTTTTTTTTATCATTGGTCACTTCCCGACTGAGGTAGGGTGATCCCTCCTCTCCCTCCCCCTCAATAAAAATCTATGCAGTCCCTGTCTTACCATAAGTGTGCTGACATAACACTTCAGATAACTCTTAGTTCTCGACTCTAGAACTAAGAGTCAGTCTAACTGGTTTACCTGAATCCCTTCATGTTACTTTGTTGTGCCTCAGCAGCACATCAAGTTATATACCATTTGCCCCTCCCCCAAACACAAGCCAGCCCTTAGTAAAAAAAAAAAAAAAAAAAAAAATTTTCTTTGCCCCATCTAACCCTTCCTGGGAAGACTCTTCCTACCCCAGATTTACGTACTTTGTCATCCTATTCTGCTTCATCCTCTCTAAATGCCTAAACCATCTCAACCACCCCTCTGAATTATACTTTTTGTAAGTCCACACTGTCTCCTAATCTCCATGGTCTGAATTCTCTGCATAATATTCATGACCCTTGTGGATTTATAACTTAGTTTTGATTGTAATAATACATAATATTCACACTGCTCTCAAATATAACATCTCCACTGCCTGTAGTCTTCTCAGGCTCATGACCACACCAGTGCTGATACCACTATGTTCTTTCACATTTCCTTTATTTTTTTTTCTACTTTTTCTAGAAATGAACTCTCCACAGTTGCCTCAATTTACCACCTGTCTCTTTTTCCTCTCATCTGAATTCATTCATTCACTCCAATCTGATACTCATAGGGGTAGGCCAAGAGTGTTGAACTGGTAAGGTCATATAGTGCCTGTGGGAATGGGAGGCAATCACATTTGATGCAAGGAAATTATTATTATTATAATCAAAAAGAAGCGCTAAGCCACAAGGACTATACAGCGCTGCAGGGCAGGAAGGAAGCGAGGGCATCAGGTGGCAAAAGGGAGATGGATGAGTAATAGGTTACGGATAACAGCAGAGAAGTGGATGGTGAAAGGGTAAAGGGCAGCAAGAGAGTGAGCTAGAAAGGGCTGAGAGGAGTGCGTAAGGTATCATCATCAGAGTTTGTGGAGTAAATCAGTCGTTGTCAAGAAGTCAATGAGAGAGTCAGGAGGGTCCATCAGCAAGAAGGGAAGGTAAAGAGAGAGTAGTAGAACGAAGACGGCGTTGGAGGTAAATTCTGCGTGCTCGTTGATAGAGAGGGCAGTCTTACAGAATGTGGCTAATCGATACTGGAACTTGACACTGCTCACAGAGAGGTACAGGGTGCCTCTCCATGAGATACCCGTGAGTAAGACGAGTGTGGCCAATGCGAAGACGGGAGAGAGTGGTCTCCCAACCACGGCACTGATGACAAGAAGACGGCCAGTAACCTATGCTCGGTTTAATAGAATGAAGTTTGTTACCAAGCAGAGTTGACCAACGTTGTTGCCAACGGGCATGAAGGTGGGTAGCTATTGCAGCAAAATAGTCCAGAAATGGAACACCTCTATAGGAAAGTGGTAGGTCATGTACTGCTGACCACGCAGCAGTGTCTGCCTGTTCATTGCCCTGTACGTCGACATGACCAGGGACCCAACAAAAAATAATATCTTTATGCTTGGTAGAGATACGGCGTAGCCAAAGTTGGATATGGAGAACTAGGGGGTGAAAGTATCAAATTTTCGTATAGCCTGTAGAGCACTAAGGGAGTCTGAGACTACCACAAATGATGACACAGGCATAGATGCGATACGAATAAGTGCTGCAAGAATGGCATACAGTTCAGCAGTAAAAATGCTAGCCGAAGATAGTAAATGCCCCCACATGACGCTGTCCGGAAACAGTGCTGTGAATCCGACACCGTCTGAAGACTTAGAGCCATCTGTGTACACAGCGGTGGCATGAGAATGGGAGTGGAAGCGATCAAGAAAAAGAGCGGGAAGCCACCGTAGGCAGTTGAGCTTTCGAGCAAGGGAGTGAGAAAGAACAGACCCAAACAGCTGGAACTTCCCAGGGAGGTAGGGAAAAGTGAGATGCTACATGAACATATAAAGGTGGTAACTGAAGGGAAGACAAGAGTGAATGTAGGCGAAGAGAAAAGGGACGGAGCAAACAGGGGCGGCGAACGAATAAAGAATGTCTACTAATATCGGTGACCATTCTATAAATGGAAGGATTGTGTAGATCGTGAGAGCGTACATAGTAGCGAAGGCAATGGGCAAACACGGCGATCAGACAAGGATGGAACATTCGCTTCTGCATAGAGGCTCTCAACAGGGAAGAGCGAAAAGCACCAAGGCACAAACGAATCCTTGGTGATGGATAAAAGTTAAGGCTAGAGAGAGTAGCAGGAGAGGCCGCTGAATAAATCTGGGCACCATAATCGAGTTTCAATAAAACGAGGGCTGAATGTAGGTAAGCAGAGTTCAATGATCAGCTCCCCAGGAAAGGGGAGCAAGGGTTTTAAGGTTTAGCCGGCTGTGACAAGTTTCCCTTCAGAGAGGTAATGCGATTTTTCCGGGATAACCTAGGGAAAGGAAAACCTAAAAACCCTGCTGTACCCTTTGGGGGGTACGGGACCATGAGAACGGTTTCGGGATGACGGGTTTTGAAAGAAATTTTGGGCAGTTTTGGGTCTTGAAAATTCCCAGTTTCCCGTGGCCCAAAGGGAAACCGGGCGCTGCAGGGGAGAAAGCACGGGTGCAGTCAGCGCCGCAAAAGAAATCGAACATAACATTGGAAAAAATTTGGGGTGAAAGCAGAGGCCCCCATTTGCAGGGAAAAAGGTTTTGGGAGAACAACCCTGGGGACCCTTCCCGGCAAAAGGGGGAAAAGAAACTTTTGACCAACACGGAAAATTCGAGAAAAAATTTTTAAGGAAAGGGATGGAGATTGCCTCGGAGGCCTAAGGAATGGCCGGGGGCAAAATTTTACCTCCAATTGTGTCAACCTTCTAAGGTCAATTTATATTTAAAAATCAAAAAGAAGCGCAACCCAAAATTTGGGTAAAAAAATTTGGGCAAAATGAGGATTATTCGCAAAGGCTTATGAACATACGTATAAAAGCGTGTAAGGGTCTAGGGTTTGAACCCCCTTTACGAAAGCCATTTTGACTAGGGGAGAGACTGTTTGTGTCTCAAAAATCCCACTTTAAAACTTGATTTCGAACGTTCCATCCTTTGCAAACTGCACTAGTAAAGCGATGGGACGATGTGGAGCACATGTCCTGTTCCCCGGGTTTTGGGGAAAGGGGAGAAAAAATGGCAATTTCCACGCTGGGGAAAACTCCTTGCCCAAATAGATTGGGGGTGTAAGAGGTAAAGGGGCTGACCGATGAAAATGTTTAACTCAATATAATTGTAGCCCAGCCCCCCTGATGGCAAGCTGAGAGCGTTCCTCTTTCTTGAATTTAAAAAGGGCACATTTACTGTTTCTTTTGAAAAAGAAAAGTCCAAGGGTACAAAACTTCTGGCGACTTTGAGGAAACAAATGGGGGGCTTTAAGGGAGCCCCGGGAAATACGGCCAGATGTGTCCCGTTCAATGGCAAGTCGAGAGGGTTTGTACATCAACACCAGGCCCCTTAGAACAGGACCCGGGTCAGGAGGTATTTACCACCATTTCCCTCACTTTTTTCCCAGACTGCCCTTAAAAAGAGAGAGGAGGTGGAAACAGTCTCGCAAACAAGCGCGTTTACTTCCGGATCCCCGGCACGATGCACGTTTCTGCTTAAAATCAAAATTCTCAGCAGTTCTATTGTACCAGTACCTCCCCATGCAGCACGTTTCAAATGTACTCCCGGGCACAAGCGGAAACCACCAGGCCCTTTTTCAGAATGCCCCCGGGTTTGGGGTATAAAATAAAGTCTATAAACGACGCGAGAAGAGGTTGGGAGCTCATCAATGGGGGATATAAAGGGAACCTCACTAAAAAGCAGTGAGGTTGAGTAAAGATCCCAATTTCCCCGTAAAATTGCCAGCGAGGGCTGGGAAAGGGTGGTGAATGGGGAAGGGAAAAGTAAAATTTTGGAAAATGAAGCTGTCATGTAACCCGGTAAAAAACAACCAATAAGTCTATGCATGGAGGAAGAGAACTGTAGATCAATCAAAAAGATTTATGAGTCGGGGATAAAAATGGTGGATCCCCGTTTTTAAAAAACAGGGGGGGGGTGGGGAGGCAAAAAAGCCCCCAACTAAATGCCCGTGAGCCCAAAAAAAAAACCCTCCCCCCCCCCCCCCAAGGAAATGGGGGTTTAAAAATACCAAGAAACAGAAGTGGGGGGAAAGGGATGAAACAAAAAGGCAAATCGGGATAAAAAATGCTCGAAAAGGGAAAAAAAAAATTAAAAAAACTTTGTAAACCATTTTATTCAAGTGGATACGGGGCATGAAAGCGCGAAGATGGCCCAATAGTTACAGTACAATACCCTTGCGTAAAAAGAAGGGACTTTCCTTAAAAGGGCCCCCTTTTGAAAAAGGATCCGAAGAATACAAAAATTATACCCTGAAAGGGTTGGAAAACAGCGAGGAAATTTTGGTTTTTGTAAGCAAGCCAACGGGGGAAAACCGGGAAAAGCAAATCAAGCTCACCCCGATTACCCTGGGCCGCGGTATTCCCACTGTAATGGCCTATTGGCGATGAAGAAAATCCAGGAATCTGTAGGAAAAGGGCACCTACGGATAGAGGGGTTAAAAAGTCAACGTGTGGTGGCTTTGGAAGATGTTCAAGCAGCAAAGGGAACGGAGCATTGCGAAGTTTGGGTTTTGTGAAGATGGGGGAGGGGGAAGAAAAGGAACGGGAATGAATCAGTTCCATTAAAGGTTTAGTCCGCAATATATTTGAAAGGTTCAAGTGTTTCTGAATTCAAAGATGTAAGGGAGACCATATGGAGATAGAAAGGAGGGGGGGTAAAATTGGGCGTAAAGGCTGTACCAAAGTGAGGGGTAGGAAAAGTGTAAGGGCGGGAATAAGTGAGGGGGAAAAACGGGAAAACAGAACCTGGAGGGGGCAGAAGGGGAGAAACTTGGGAGGGACGGGGGTGGGAAAGGGTTTGTGAGGGGAAAGGGGGAATCTTTTCCCCACTTGTAATGCCAAGAGAGGGGAAGAATGGTACAAGACGGAAAGGTTTAAAAAGGAGGGGGGAAAAAGGGGCAAAGAAGATTTGAGCAATGTGGATTTTTTTGGGCTTCTGAGAAGTAAGGGGCGATTGGGATTAGGTGTCGTACGAGGTTTGTGTATGGGGCTTGTGAGGAAAAACGGGAAGTTGGGGAAAAAAAAACGGTTTTAGTCGGGGAACAGACCCCCAAAGGACACAAAAGGATTAGATGCCGGGGGGGTATGGAGGGGTACACAGAGGACTGCAGAAATGGGACCCCAGAAGTGGGGGGGTGTTTTTTAAACACGAGAATAAGAAAAATGGGAGTCCCCCTTGGAGGCGGAGATGAGTAATGCCCTACATAAGGGGACCCTTTTGCCTCTTTGAGGCAAAGGATTTTTCCTTCATTTAATAGACCGGCAACGGCGGGGGTACGAAGGGTGACTTCATACAATTAAGCAAATGTATTAGAATGGGGCGGCACCCCAGACGGGGATTCGGCCTTTGATTCAAAATTTCATGGGTGCGAAAACGCCGCAAATTTTACATGCTGCGGTTAGGGATCCCCCTTTGAATTGTAACCGATTTTCCCCCGACATAACAGAGGGCGGGAGTTCTCGGCGTCAAAAGTTAAACGGGCCCTTTCAAAAAGGGAAACGCTCCCCCCCCGGGCAGGAAGGACTAAGGGCTCTTTGGGATGGGGGATCCTGAGTTTCAGTTGTTCAAGAATGCCTTGCCAAGACGGAAAAATTCTGTTGGAATGGTAGGGGCGAAAGACAGTACCCCACAAGAATTGAGGAAAGTGTTTTTCAATATGTGGACTGTTCGATATTTAAAAAGAGAAAGTATGACTTTGGGGAGCATTCTGGACAGTGACAATGCGGACCGCTCGAGAGCATGAAAAGAAAAATTTTCGCCAACATACCGGAGCCTTTGCCCAAAACAGGGCAAAGGTAGGGAAAAAGTCATCTTAAAATAAAAATTTAGACCCTTGTGTGGGCCGAAAGGGGGGAGGGGGTGCTTGACGTGTGGTCTTTTCCGAGTAAAAAAGGGAAGGTAACGAAGGGATCATCAGGAGATTGACGTTGGGGATTTAGGATGGATGGAGTTGGGCCGGTGAAAAAGGGGGGGCAATTCGAAATTGCCGTACCCTAGAGGGGGGAGCCCGGGGCATTCAAAGGAGGGGCGGGGGTTCAGACAATCGAAGGAGCAGTCGAACCCCCGGTACCCAAGCGGGTGAGGAAACGCCCACCGAGGTACAGGGCATCAGAGTGCCCAAGATGGGCTAAAAACCCGGCAGGGTCAGGGGTCGAATCGGGGGCCCGGGGGAGTGGTTCGGAAGGGGTTTTCCCCGGTTGGAACCCTTTTTTTTTGTTTTTAAAAAAAAAAAAAAGAAAAAATTAAAAAAAAAAAAATAAAAAAAGGGGGACCGGGGGGGGAATAGTTCCCCGGGGAATGAAAGGGCCGGAAATCTCCCCCCCGCACCCCAAAAGGACCCCCACCCGTAGTGCGAGATTATTATTTTAATCAAAAAAATGAACCACAAGGGTATACGCATAGTGCGCAGATGCCTGGAACCCTGCCATACCCACCCCCTGCCAGTAAAACCCCAATCCCGGGGTAGCAACCCACATCGCGAGCACCTCGGGGACAAAAAAGGGGGGCCCCGGATTCCGCCACAAAGCATACTTCCTTTGGCCACCCCCCCTGGAATCCCAAAGGGGGCTTCCAAGATACACCCTCACCCGAAAGACCCCAAACTCTGGGATCGGAGAGGGGTGCGACATCCCCGGCGATCCAGATTCCCCGGGGAAACTGCCCCCGCCCAAAAACCCCAAAAATGGGTGGACCCCCGGTGTCCTTTCCCCCACCCAGGAACTAGCGCCCGTGGGAGAACCCAAAAGGCCAAAAAGAGGAAGGGGGAAAGGGAGGGTGGGGAGGAGGGGAGGGTGGAAAAAAGGGAGGTGGGTAGGGGGGGGGAGATTGAGGGGTAAATTTGGTTCGGTCTGAGGAAGGGGACCGACAGGTTAATTCCTCAGGGCCAAGATCCCCCTTCACCACCCAAGGAGCCCCCCTTAAGAGGGAAAGGAAAGAGGGCAGCTAATTTCCCGCATCAAAAAACTCTCTCTCCCCCTGGGTCAAGAAAAATTAAATCCAATCACCCATATTTTTTTTTTTTTTTTTTTTTTTTTTTTTGGGGGATCTTCCCCTTTAGTCTTAATTGGGATTGTTTATTTATTGGGAATTTACTTCAATAAAAAGCATAAACCTATAAAGGTCACTTAGTGCTGAATTGGTAGTGTTAACAGTTTATTATTTTCTGTTCCAGATGGAAATGGACTCGAAGTGTTCCATTCCTACCAATGTTTGAAGGATTTAGGAAGAAGTCATCATATCCTGCCAATATGGTAGAAACAATATCAGCAAGACCTTTATCATGATCACTGCAGGAATGTAACGGATTTCTAACATTAGTTAAGACCTCAGCTTTAACGTCCTTTAGAACAGAACATTTCCATGAAATACTAAACCTGTAAGGGTCGTACAGTGCCTGGGAGCAATTAGGTGTGATCCAAGTAAGTGGAAGGCAAGCCAGTAATTATATATTGTATGTATTCAAACAAAAGCACTAAATCCTTTTGGGACATACATTGTAGAGGGGTGGTTTAAACTGTAAAGTTAGGGTTTAGTGTAGTTCAGGGTTAGTAAAGGTGTAAATTTAATAGTGCAGTAAGTTACTCCCCATATGAATTTTCAACAGTGTGTCACAGGTAGGGCTTCTAGCAAGCAAAGCAGTGTGTACCAGGGTTAGGAAGATGTTGAAATTGTAGTTGTGTGTACTGCTTGATTAATGGGACAGTTTGTTAACATAGGGTGAATTGTTAAAATAGTAATATAATAAATTTAGGTACCAAACTTATAAGGGGTCATACAACAGGGGATTATTATTATTATAATCAAAAAGAAGCGCTAAGCCACAAGGGCTATACAGCGTACAACAGGGGAATTGTTAGATCTGGCATTTCTTAGAGATATCAGGTGTCTTTCCATATGCAGTCATGTGGCAGATTTGTAAAGATGTAAGAACAGTTTTCCACATGACAGTGATGAGAAGATGTACATAAAGTATGTTGGTATGCAGTAAGTCCTATTTCTGGATAGTTTAACACACCAAGTGGACATTATTACAATGTCTATGAATAGCAACAAATAGTGCATGAAAATGCTGGTCAACTCTAAGAAATGAGCTTTGTACCCTACTTCATCTGAGAATTTGAAGCCATCTGTGTATGCTGCCTTAGCATGAGAATATGATAGTGTTCTAGAAAGAGTGAGAGTTTCTGGCAGATATGTTGGTTTTCAGGCATGGAAAGGTAAAAATGGCAAAGTTGAATTTTTGAAACTTAAGGACAAAAAAAAAAAAAAATAATGATGCAGGGAGAGCATAAATTGAATCAACAGTTGAATGGATGAATCTTGCCTTGATGAATGTACAGAAAAATGGATGGGCTAACTGTAGTTCATACATATAGCAGGCTCAGTGCTATAATCACTCAGCCACAGGGTTTACAATTATTAAAATAAAAAAACTCAACCTCCAAGGGTCAGACAGCACTGCTGGGCAGGGAAGGATGCAGGGTATTGTGTAGCAAGAGGGAGAGGGATGATTATTAGGTCATGGATACAGAGTTTACAATAAAATGATTCTGTGACCTGGTTGCATTAGCACCCCTCTTCAAGGGGAAAGGGGCTCTTTGGCATGGTGAAGAGGCTCTTGGTCTGAGGAATTAGACCTTTTGGTCTCCTTCCTCAGACCAAAACTAATTACCCCTCAATCCCCCTTACCCTATCCCATCCTCCCTTTTTTCCTTTCCTCTTTTTGGCCTTCAGGATTCTTCCCACAGGCAGTCTACTTCCTAGGTAGGGGGAAGGGTACCAGGGTCCATCCCATTCTGTTGAGGTCACCTGGGGATGTCCTGATCCCTCTCTGGTCTCCCGGGGGGTGTCTTTCGGGTGATGGGTATATCTGTGGAGGCTGCCTGTCTGATTCCAGGGGGTGGTGGCTAAAGGAGGTATGCTTTGTGGCAGGTGTCTGGCTGCCCTCTCTTTTGTCCGCCGAGGTTGCTTAGTGGATGAGGTTGCCATCCTGGTTTACTGGCATGAAGGGTAGGGTATGGCACGGGTTCCATGCTGCATCTTGTGGTGCTGAGGTCCTCTTGGGCGCGGAGGGGGATTTACGGCCCTTTTTTGCCTCCTAGGGGCTATTCCTCCTCCCCCTGGGTCCTGTCTTGATACCGCACCCTGTTTTGACCCTGCCTTGTTTTTTGACCACTCTTCGGACGCTTCTAATGCTCCTGTACCTCTTGCTGGTGCTGTTTCATCACCTGCTTCAGGTACCAGGGTTTCAACTGACTCCGATATGTCTGACCTCCACTCTTCTTTGACTATGCTTCCGGCCTCTCCCTCTACGGTGTGGCAATTTTCGAATCGCCAGCCTGTCCCATGTCAGACCAACTCCGGTCCCACTCCTAAATGTCCACAATTACCTGATGATACTTCTCGTTCTGCTCAGAAAAGACCTGCATGTCACGCACTCCCTTTCCATGCTCAGTTTTGGAATGTACATTGGACTAAATTCTTTACTTTACGACTGACTTCCTCTACTGCCTATCTTTGCGACCATAGTATTGGCAAGGTCCTCCTATGCCATGTTGGTAGAGATATATCCTTTCATACTCTCAAGAGCGGTACACTTGTCATCACTGTCCAGAATGCTAACCAAGCTCATGACCTTTCTCTTCTTACAAGTATCGATACTATTCCTGTCTATCAAAAAACATCATTCCCTCAATTCTTGTAGTGGTACTGTCATTCTGCCCCATACCATTGTCCAACAGAATTTCCAGACATGTGGCGATGACATTCTAGAACAGCTGGAGCTCCAAGAACTCTCAGTTCTCAAAGTAGACACTTGTGTCCTTCCTGCCCACAGGTGGAGACGATACTCTTGCAATGTAGCTCAATTGACTTTCGACTGCCGTGAACTCCCATCCTCTGTTTATATAGCAGGACATCGTTTACAAGTTTGAAAGGTGATCCCTACACTGCAACAGTGTAGAAATTGCTGGTGTTTTGGTCATCCGGTGAAATATTGCAGGTCTATAGCCGAATGCCCAGTCTTAGGTGCCGATGACCATTCCAGTATGTCTTGTAGTGTACCTCCCTCTTGCCTTGTCATGAGGCTCGCCCATCTTACTTTCGCCATTGGCAGGTTTACTTAAATGAGCAAGAAATCTGTTGCCTCAGAGGCAGGTTTCCCCTGTGCTATGGCAGTTTCTCATCTACGCCTCCAAGGGAGATTACGCTGTATTTCTTATTCTCGTGTTCATAAACGTCCCCCCACCTCTGGGGTCCCATCTTCTGCAGCCTCCTCTGTGGTTACCCCTCCCATAGTCACTCCTGTGTCTAATTCTTTTCCTGTCCCAGACTCGGAAGTCCCTACCTCAACACCTCGGTCTGTTCACTTAATGTTCTCGCTCACAAGTTCTGATATCGACAAGACCTCATACAACACCTTCTCCCAATCGCCCCTGTACTTCTCAGAAGTCCAAAAAATCTCCATTGTTCAAATCTGCATTAACCCTTCCTTCCCTTCTTCTACCTCCACATTTTACCTTTCCAGTCTCTGTACTTGGTTCTTCACCTCTCACTGGCTCTGTTACAAGTGTGGAGGTTCACCCTCCTCCTCAGTACTTTACCTTCCTGTTCTGCCTACTCCCAGGTTTCCTCTTCTGTCCCCTCCCACACTTCTCTATTATTATTATAATCAAGGGGGAAGCGCTAAACCCGGAGGATTATACAGCGCCTGGGGGGGGGGGGGAATGAGGAAGGCATTCAGGCTTAATTCGGGGAACTGGAGTACAGATCCAATTCCCTAAATCAAGAGCCTCTCACCAACATCAAGGAACCTTCCTTGAGGGGGCCACACTTCTCTAGTTCCCTCTGCCCTTTTGTTTTCCCCTACTTTGGTACAGTCCATTGCTGTCCCAATCTTTACTCACCCTCCTCCTTCCGTCTCCCATACAAAGTCTTTGTCTTCTGAAACACTCGAAGCTATCTCAGAATATGTTGGAGACTTGACCATCAATAGACACTGATCCACCTCTTCTTCCCTCTGCGCAACTCCTATCTTTGCAGCGTCCCATTCGTTCACTGCTTCAACATTTTTCACTGCTGCCACATGTGGACTTTTCTAACCCCTCTAGTCCGTAGATGCCTTTACCTGCAGATTTCTTGTATCTTTTTTTTTTTTTTTTAAAGATTCGCCGGTATTCTCCTGGCCTTGGCTCCCTGTCTGGGGAGTGTCTGAGACCCAAGTCTCCCATGGGAGGAGGCACAAGTACCCCCTCATCTTTGGGACCAACTGTCCCTAGGCCTAGCCACATTCCCTGCCCTCAGAGGGCTCGTAGGGAGAAGCTAGGCCTCTCTGGTCTGCCATCCCCGCACCAAGGGGGTTATTGGGAATGAGAGTCTTGTGAGCTGCAAGCTCGGACTCAGGCACCTACCTACCCTACCCTAGAAGAGCTGGGCATGGTGTTGACCTGTTTCTTGTATCTTTCTCGTTACCAATCGTGGCCTATTTACAGTAGAATATCCGCGGCCTCAGGGGTAAACTGGGTGAGCTTCAAATGTTTTTCCCTGTTAGTGTTTCCTTACAGGAACCAAAATTACACTCCGCTGTTATCCATCCCATCTCAGGCTATGATTTATTGTATTCTATGGAACCTTTCCTCTTCAAGGGGGGCTCCTTGGCGTGGTGAAGAGGCTCTTGGTCTGAGGAATTAGCCCTGTCGGTCTTCTTCCTCAGACCGAACCTAATTACCCCCCATTCTCCCCTCCCCTATCCCATCCTCCCCTTTTTCCATTCCTCCTCCTCCTCCTCACCCCTCCCTTTTGCCCTTCCTCTTTTTAGCCTTCGTGATTTCTCCCACAGGCGCGCTAGTTCCTAGGTAGGGGAAAGGACACCGGGGTCCATCCCATTCCGTTGAGGTTTCTTGGCGGTGGCGTAGTTTGCCGTGGAATCTGGATTGCCTAGAGATGTCCCGATCCCTCTCCGGTATCCCGGAGTGGCTTTGGGTGTCTTTTGGGGGACGGGGGTATCTCTGGAAGCCACCTTTTTGGATTCCGGGGTGTGGCTGAAGGAGGTATGCTTTGTGGCGGATATCCGGCCGCCCTCTCTTTTTTCCACCAGGTACTCGCAGATGGAGGTTGCTACCCAGATTGCTGTTTACTGGCATGAA